GGCCGACGCCCTTCTCTGTATCGGAGGGCGTATCATCTGCCTGGTGTCATACCTCCTCGTCTCCATCGGTGTCTACGGCTACTGGCTCGAGCGATGGGGTGCTTCGCGCGCTATCTACTTCGCAGTGGTCACCTTAACCAGGTACTTACGGGCCTGTCTTACCCCCCCTTTCTTCCCTCCCTACCGCTCTTTTTGTTTTCTCTTCTCATTTTATCTTTTAGTACGCGCGGTAAGCTCCCCTTCGCTAGGAAGTTTCTGCCTGATGAGCATCATCCCTCCCTCCCTCCCTTCCTCCCTCCCTCGTCGCCTTCCTCAGTGTGGGTTTTGGGGACATGACCCCCCTCACCCAAGAGTCCCGCCTATTCACCATCTTCTTCGCTATCGTCGGCATCAGCGTCGTCGCCCTGGCCGTGGGAGAGATCAGCGGCTTTATCATCGAGAAGGAAACGGCCAAAGTGGAGGAATTTAACCGGCTTTTGGCGCAAAAGCTTTCCGAGGTGAGACACTCGCTCGTTCAGATGCCCCGTTGTCCTTCCCCTTTCTCTGCCGGTCTTTCACCCGCTTTCTGATTCCTTTATTCATCCCTTTCTGGAAGCCTTTTTTCTGTCCCTTTCTTGTCCTGTCCCTCCTTGATTTGTTTTGCGACTACCAGTTGTGCGTTTTCCTTGGCCCGCTCGTTTCACTCCTTCCCTCTTCTTCGCTACTCCCCAGAGAATGCAAGCCGACCACCACGACGCCGCGGGGGAATCCGAGGACGACGACAGCAGGGATGAAGAGGAGGAGGATGACAAAGACGAAAGAAGGGCAGATGATCCTAGGGAGGAAAGGATGACAGAGCACTCCATGCCAGGCGAGAGAGAGAGGGGCCAGGTCGGCTTTTGCGGAGGCAGCAGCGACGGCAATACTCCTTCACGGGATATCCCACACCAGGATTTGGACGCGCCGCGAGGCAATGCAACCCCTCTCGAGCCTTCCCTTCAGCCCTCCTTCCCATCCTTCATTCGTTCCTCCTCCTGGTGCATGGGGGCTTCGGCGGGGGCGCTTGCCAGTCTCTCGGCGTGGTGGTCTCGGCAGAAGAAACGGTGGAAGAAAAAGAGGAAGGCGAGGGAGAAGAAGTCAGGGAAGGGGGAAGGGAAGAGGATGGATCGGAAAAAAGGAAAAGAAGAGGAAGGAAATGCGTGGGCAAAGGCAAAGTTGGGAGAAGGGAGTCGCGTGGAGC